GGGGGGGGGTTTAGATGTGTCCCATTTTAGACTGCCAGGGAGGATGTGGGTTTCTTGGGTCTTTTGTGGTGGAACTCTCATACAGTAGTTGGTTGTTAAAAGATTCATATCAGAGTTTGTTCCCGGTTTCAGGTGAAGGATTTGGAGCGAGAGAACAAACGCTTGCACGAGGTGGTGTCCGATAAAAATTCGGCCCTGAACAAACTGGAGTTTGAGACAAGACAGCTGCAGAGGATGCAACATCAGCTTCAGGGGAACACTGAGAGGGTCAAGGAGGTGGAACAAGAGAACCAAAGCCTGGAGAAGGAGAATTCGGAGCTGCATCAGAAGGTAGGAGAATGTTGTACTTTACCTCTAAGTGTATCAACAGGACAAGAAGAGTCGCAGGTCACATTTTAACAATATAAAACTAGAGAACCAAGAAGAGAGAAACCCGCATGCTATGTACATCCACAAGTGGAATTGAAGCTTTGAAATGCTCAAAATGTGGCTAGCTCTTCTCTACCGGAATTGATCTCATTGGCCTCAGCGGAAACTGCAAATCATCTTAATCCTTGTTGCTCCTATTTCTCTTTAAGAATTTTTCTCCTCTGCAGGTGTATTGGTCATCATCAGATATTATTATTATTACAGGTATTATAATGAAAAATGTAAGGAAACTTTACAAGCGGGTTAAAGCAGTTATTATTATTATTATGATTATTGTTATTTGTATCATTAGAATATTAGTATCAGTTTTATTATGGAAGCCAAAAAGAAAAAAACTGTCCCAATATTATCAACTCAGAGAATTGTCTTATTGTTATTTCCCTATGAACGAGTTTCTGTTGTGACCCAGAAAATACAACCATTTGGTCATTGGACATCAGACTGGCATCTACTCAAAAGAAAAGTCTATTAAGCCTGAGTTCTTATGTGCAGACTCTTCAAAATTAAACAGGCATTGAACAAGTGCGTAAGGCTGATATACTCGTTATCAAAATGTCCTTACTACAGTTACATATCTTAAAAGTTTTCGAAGAAATAATAAAAATTTCCAGCTTGTAAGGAAATGAAAATTGCTTTGAATTCCGCGCCCCAAAAAATCACATCTTTTTCATCTCTCATCCCACCCCCTTCCTCCTCTCTTCCACTCTCTCCACACACTCACGCGCACGCACACACACACACACACATACACATACACGCACATACACACAACACACACACTCACACATAACACACACTCACATACACTTACACACATACACACACTCACACACATGTGCACACACACACATACACACGCACACACACATACACACACACGCCACCAGGTGGCAACATTGCAGCACAGTGCGGAGAGACTGGAGGCCGTGGAGCAGGAGAACTCTGACATGGGTGTGGAGAACCGCAAGCTTCAGAAGACGGTGGAGTCGTTACAGGCGTCCACACAGAGGAGGGAGCAGTTAGAGCAGGAGCACATCTCTCTCAGTGTGGAGCATCAGAGGCTGCAGGTGGGTGTGTGTGGGTCTGTGTGTTTGTGCGTGTGTGTGTGTGTGTGTGTGTGCGCATGTGTGTGTGGGTGTGAGTGTGTGTGGAAGTGTGTGGGGGGGTGTGTGCTAAACAGGAGCACATCTCTCTCAGTGTGGAGCATCAGAGGCTGCAGGTGTGTGTGTGTGTGTTTGTGTGTGTGTGTGTGGGAGTGAGTTAAACAGGAGCATATCTCTCTCAGTGTGGAGCATCAGAGGCTGCAAATGGGTGTGTGTGGATCTGTGTCTTTGTGTGTGTGTGTGGGTATATGTGTGTGTGGGTCTCTGTGTGTGTGTGTGTGTGTGTGTGTGTGTGTGTGTGTGTGTGTGTTTGTATGGGTGTGTGCACATCTCTCTCAGTGTGGAGCATCAGAGGCTACAGGTGGGTTTGTGTGGGTGTATGTGTGTCAGTGTGTTTGCGGGAAGTAGGGAGTAGTTGGAGAAGGAGCACATCTCTCTCAGTGTGGAGCATCAGAAGGTGCAGGTGTGTGTGTGTGTGTGTGCATGCGTGCTTGTTTGCGTACCTGTGTGGGGGAGGGTGGGTAAGAGAGTGTGTGTGTATGTTACTCTGTTTGGGGGAGGTGGAGGAATGTTGGAGCAGGAGCACATCTCTCTCTCAGTGTGGAGCATCAGAGGCTGCAGGTTGGTGTATGTGTGGTTGGGTGTGCATATTTGTTGGGGGGGGACGTTTCACAAAATTACGCTCATGTTTTCCCTTCCCACTTTCCTGACACTTTTTTTTTAGTTAGATGGAAGATACTGCTGGTTAGCAGGTTCTTGTTCTGTCTTTCCAATGTCATTTGCCTTCCGTCTTGTTTTCTTCCGCCACTATGGCTCCATATAGTAATTAATCATCCTGACAATGTGCTTGTCTGTTTAGTGAGTGGTCTGTTTGTTCTTTTTTTCCATGTTTCTATTTTCCTACTTCTGTTACTTGGAAAAGGTATATTGTCATCATTCCAACTTATTCAAAGTTACAACTCAGCATTGACCGCTCAGATGGTCAGATGGTATCACTGGTTGGTTCTACTCTCTTTTTCTTTCTCTCTGCTATTTCTGTCTGTCTATTTTGCTTTTTCCCTGCACTAAGTGATGACTATCAGGTTGATGTTCTTATCTTTACTAAAATTCGAAGCTTGATTTTTTGCCGACAAATTTCAAGCTGACTCACCATTTCTTTTTTTGATCCCAGAGAACCATTGAGTCCCTCAGGGGTGAATCTGATCGAGCACTGGAGCTGGAGACAGAAAAGGCGGAAGTGGAACAGGAGCTGCAGCAGCTGCGCAAACAGCTGGAAGGTCAGAAGGTGCAGAAGCTCAAGCAGGAGCAGATGGAGTTTGAGATTATTGACATGAGCAACGAAAATCAGGTACACAATGGGTTATTGTCTGTTTGTTGTCTTCTTCTTCTTCATCTCGATTACATTCATACTCAAAGTCCGGTATCTATCACATACTGGGCAGTCCTGCTCTGTTCTTCTGTTAGCCCATACAGCTTCTCCTGTAGTGTTAACGGAGTTGGCCATATTTCCTGTCTCTGGGCTCTGATGTGTGTCCTGCAATGCTGGAAGGGGGGGGGGGGTGTTCCACAGTTTGGTCTGCTTCTCCACACAGGCATTCTAGTGATTGTACTTGTTTAAAACATCAGTACACGTGTTGTTGTCTGAGTTTTGTGCGTTGTTCTGTTTGCTGTTTTTTGACCGGTTTTGTTTGCACACATTTTTCAGATAGCATTTTGAGGTGGATCCTGAAAAAAAAAGAGGGGAGCAGTTATGGACATATACCGCCAGTCCTGATCCATCCAAAGCTTGTAGACAAACAGACAAAAGATTATAAAACATTCTTTATCATCTTCACTACTATACAAGAACTAATTGTAATGGTCAACATATATAGTCTAGATTACTTTTGAACATGGTCTGCAAGACTCCGCAGGGTCAGTGGTTGGCGCCACTGGTAGATACTTCTTCTTTACTTTTCCTCCGTTGTTTCTGTGTCTCTGTCTTGCTCTTTGCCAGCACTAAATGACTGTTATGGTGTCAATGAGCTTCTCTGCTCTCAAACAAATAAAAAAAACAATTTACCCATCTGTCTTGTCTTCATTCCTTTGTTCCTTTTCCTCTCCCATCTATCCTTTTTTTTTCTCCCATCTTTTTCCACTCGTTTCTTTTTCTTCCACCTGTCTTGGCTCCATTCCTTTTTTTCCTGCAATATGTCTTGTCTTTATTTCTTTTTCTCCCATTTGTCTTCTCTTCATTTCTTTTCTTCCCATCACCTGCCTTGTCTTCTCGCTCTTTCTTCCCATCTACTTCCATCTTCATTCCTTTTCCTTCCTCTACCTGTCTACAGCGTCTACAGAAGAGTCTGGAAGTGACCACGCGCAGGCTGCAGCAGCTGGAGAAGGACAACAACGACATAGAGATGGAGAGCGAGCGGCTCAGCAAGGAGCTGGACACCATGAAGGTGGCGGTCAAGAGACTGGATGGTCGGGACAAGGAGGCCTCGCAGATGGAGGTGGAGATGCAGAGACTGCAGAAAGACAAGGCTGGCGTGGAGAAGGAGAACAGGTGTGTTTGTGTGTGTGGGTGGGGTGTGTGTGTGGGTGTGGTGTGTTTGTGGGTGTGTGTGTGGGTGTGGTGTGTTTGTGGGTGTGTGTGTGG